GAACTCTACGCCGCTCTGTAGGCGCTCAATAGCGCCTTTCCCACGGGAGGTTGACTGGTATGGCCCTATGGAGCTACAACATACCGACCCGTACGCCCATCTCACACGACCGCCTACAAATAAACGAATGCACCTGGAGTTCGTACTGTTTCATTCGCGAAGTAAAAGGTGAAGCGGAGGGTTCTGAAGTGGCCGCGGTGCTGCATGGATATATGAGTAGTACGTGCAGCCGTAACTGCCGTAGCGGTTATTGGCAAGATGCCTACGGGAAACTCGTCCGAAATTGCTTTTCGAGTCATTAGAGACGAAGGCTTTTCTTCGCAGGTTTTCGACCGTTTCACTTCGTTTTTTTTGCTATCTTCCCACTATATAGCACCCTGCTCGCATTTAAGACCGAGCCCCAAATGTCGGGCCATATGCCTTTGATGATTCGTCAAGGCAGTGGCGCGATTGTTGGGGACTGGCGTTAGTCGTCAACATCATTGGTGAAAAGGCTGACTGAGGTGTGGCAAAACGAACGCCTTCGCGCAGTCATTCCTTCAGTGACCAGCAACAGTCGCCCATCTCAACAATCGTGCCCCCTCCAGTTACAGTGGGATCTATGCGGGCGATTGGGGTTTACGTGGCGCGTTGGAACCGCAGCGAGGGTGGCCTTGCTCCAACAATGGTGTCATCCTGAGCCCGCTACGATTGGTGAAAAATGCTCTAGCTGCGCTCCAGACCACGCCGCCGTTTTGCACCTGATCATTCTCGACAGTAACGATTGTATAGAGTGGGGGTATTTGGACGAGTTTCCCGTTGGCATCGTGTCAGTAACCGCTACGGTAGATACGGGGCATGTATGATCTCTTACAGTGTAGTTCGCTGCGGGCGGCTGGGCGTGTCGGGCTGGATGAGTTAGGCCGTTCTCCACCAGTTGTTAAAGCGAGCAAGTGATATGACTGTATCATATCGTTCGTATTACTCGTTTTCTACCACTTTTTGTCGCGCGCGCTTCAACAAGAAGGCAGAGAACGGCTTTGACGGCGTGACACACTCATACTGCCTGACACGCCCAACCGTCCGCAGCGATTAGAGTATGTACACCCCACCGCTGCCCCTGCTCGACAGCAAAATTTTTGGGAAAACTAGGAAATTTCGGAAAATTCCGGAGTAACTGGTGGGAAGCGGGGAAAATCCAGGAAAATGATTGCTAGGATGCGAAAGAGGGTTATCCAGAGGAGACAGAGGAGGGAATCGAGGGGGGGGGAGTCGCATTTTCCGAAAATTTCCCCAGAGGCAGGACGTGCCCCGTAGTGATATTCGGACCCGTCTCCGTAGTCCACCCGCGTTGCCGCACGGTCGGCTACAAGCCTAACCATAGCCAAACTTCTCTGCTTCTACTTCTCTGCGCCATCTCACGCCTGGTTGTTCTCATCCTCTGGCTGCGTTTTCGCTACGACATTTTGGTATTGATGCAAATGCTGCGCTGTGATGGTAGCGCATTCGAAGTCGGGAATAGGCACCTGGTTCTCGCTACCTTACTGTGTACTCATGAAAGTGGACGATACTGCAGTTGAGGGCTCCCTCTTCTCGCTCATGATAGGGGCGTCCTTGAAAATGAGAGTAAAGCTCGCCTTCTGCAGTTTTCCTCAATGTTTGAGCCCATTACAAAAGACGATGGGGTCTGAAGAAGTTTAGACCCATGCTATAAGTGAAGCATTGTGACTTCTAGCAAGCCTTTTGTTGAGAGTCAGCGCAGTCAGTGCAGCGTTCCTCCCCATTATTCTGTCTTGTTTCTGTTCTTTTGTTCTGACCTTCTTGCTGTACAAATCGCAGGCGGCCGCGGTTAAGTGCAGTCGCTATCCATGCGTATGGGCCTAGGTTTGAATCCATGACCGCTTCCGCCTGAACTAACCGCACATTTTACCATATTGGGTTGTTGAATTGGTGACTATCTGAGGAGTAAGGCGAATGTATTTACGTGTACATATACCGCCTAGCTATCGCAAGTCATCGAGGAGTCACGGTCATCTTACAAATGCCACTACTATCCTGAATGGGAGTAGAACGCGCGGCGCATCCCCAAATATGGATTGATAAATACTGTGATCGTCATCTCTTATTGACATGTTTTTATTCACCATTTGGGATTTTACGCGCACGACTTTCCATAGGAGACCAGCTGGAATGATCGATTATTCCAGGGTTTGTTCAATGGCCTCGTCGCTAGCAACCTCAACGATCCGGTTGCTTCAATGTCATCGATTGCTGCAACGCATGAGATTCCTGAGCTCTCAAAATGTGACGTAATTACTCATCTGGTAGTGTGATTTCCAACTTGTAACTTGCTAGTCAGTCCTAGCTTTATTAAAATTATTTTTTTTGAGTAGTTATAGTTTTGATTTCAGTCCACTGCCACAAATAATGGGTTCGATCCGTTTCTGCGACAGGTTGATGTTCGATTCAGCACAAGCTCGGGTGATGAGATCGTTGTTGATGCGGTTTACCAGGCATGTTTCTTCCTCTTTGTGTTTATGCTTACATTTCCGCCGACAATAAGTGGGTGGAGACGGTGGGCAGCAACTGTAGGTGCAGTCTATCGGGTTTAGGACCATACAGTCCATGTAATTTTCCTCCCCAATGATTGGCATTGTACCATATTTATGTGAAGGGTTAAAGGCCTAATTGCGGCACGGGACTTAACCCAAAATCATTGTGCTGAGAAGTCAATTGAGAAGTTTCTTGGCGCAGTTTGTCGACGGGGGGGGGGCATTCTGCTTTCCATAGATGTGCCGACCCATCTAGGTAGCCTTTTCTCGAGTTGACACGTTTTAGGATGGTGCTAGACGATCTTGCTCCAGCTTCACAAGTTTTACCAGAGTGAGATTTGTAAACCGGAACTAGGGAAGCAATGGTAGTACAAAATGCCCCCCCCCGTCGACAAACAGCGCCGTTTCTCTTATTTCGAAAAAGTTCCACCGTAACGGCTAACGCAAACCGCGAGGTGAGCGGGATATGCGTGTTCATTCTGTCCGAATCTGGCCTTTTGCCCATCCAGGTAGCTTAAGACATCTTAAAGTCATCATTCTACAGAGTTTTCTTCACTCGCCGGGCTCGCGACTCATTTACGATGCACTGAAAACAGCTGAAACTCTCAGGATAGGTAGAAACGGTCAAAGGACTCTATCAGTCCCGTGTTTGGCCCGCCTCTTTGGCATGGGAGACCCCAGCTGGTGAGCAAACGTGGACAAGCTCTGATGGGAAAGCAGGAAAGCACCCATCTAGAAAGCTGCTTTCATGTATCGTCACAGAAAGGTCTAAATTTCAGGACACTTCCCCATCTGGATCCCAGTTAGGCACTGTGGTGGCGATACATGGCGCTCCAGGATCTCACAAAGATTACAAATACGTCACACCATTGCTACATGACAAAGGAATACGTTTTATCGGTGTCAATATGCCGGGCTTTGGTATCACACCAGGTTTGTTTCGAGAATTGTTTGGGAACTTGCCTTTCCTCCTAAAGTGTCCTCACGGGCATGCTGAACCATTAGAAAAACAGGCGCTACGAAGATATTTGCCCTGCTGCTCCACTCATCGATTTTCAGATCCCTCTAATGGATACTTTACCCGGGAGTGTATTTCCGTCAAACTTTATCCGCGGGATAGTTCGACCACTGAACAAGAATATCACATCTGCTTGCCTTGAAGCCTCTAGCCTTTTGCGCAAGAGCCCTTGAAAGCAAAAAATTGCTCACAAAACTGTCTTCGGTCCTGCCTTCCTAGTCCAACTCCGACCTTCAACGAGTCCCTTACCCCCACTGATTCATACTGCCCACTGGTTCATGGGCACCTTGGCCGAATCTAGTCTGCGGCACCAGCGCTAGCGGCGAAACACCATCCGTTTTCGTTTTAAGTGGCTGTAACATTGGCGTTTTGGAAATTGGCGTTTTGGAATTTGGGAAAATCTACCCACGGGCAAATTCGATCGGAATGTGACCGTAATTTTGAAGTGTGGGGCAGGGAAGTGTAAATCGAAGGGCTAAAGGTGTATGTAGTACGGGCAAATTTCGTCCAAAATTGCCATTGCAATTTTGCCCAAAAGCGACTGGTAGGACTCGTCAGGTAGTAAGTGGGGAAAGGGGAACTCTCGTCCACTATAGCAACGGTTCTCCATCATTTCTCAATAGCGACTCGTATTTGTAACCGTTTTCTTGTTTTATTTGAAGGTGATCCTCGGCTTCGATGCGACAATAAAGAGCGTGACAATTTTGTCCACGAACTTATCGCTAAAATTGGTAATGTGGAGCGACTAGTCGTGATGGGACATAGCAGAGGATGTGAAAATGCGACCGCTGTGGCTGCAAGGAATGTGGTAAGTTTACATTATGGGTTACCATTGATTGCGGTACCTTGACGAGGCACTATGTATACTCATGATCCGTGCAAATGATGGGGCGCGTAGAAAGGCGTGAGAAGCGAACAGCCACTCCTGCTTATTGTTATGGGGATGGATAACATCATTGTTAGGAGAGGATGTTACAGTAGCCCTCCGGTCCAGAGCCCGTCACACTCCCCATCGTTTGCTGAAAGCATTACTGCAGTTTAGTTTTTGGGAGGGGTCACCTCCAAGAAAGTCCAGCTATGTCTAGTTTCGACACGAAGAAGCCGCGTCATGCGCCAAATCGGCCAAACTCACGTGAATCTAAGGAGAAGCGAGAGTCAGTGCTGAGTGACATCAAGCTTCCTTCACCTTTAACACGTTGACAACAATCGGGTTTTGCGCGAAGGCGCTGCGTGGGACACTTTTCGCATGCGTCCGCTATGAGTCTCCGAGGGCTCATATTGTCCCTCGTGGACCACTTTTTTGCCGCTATTTCATGATGAGTCAAAATGATTAGTCACTCGTGCAGGGACTGCTATTTCAACCATCTTTGACCCTATTGGATGCCATCTCATGCCCCGCCCTCTGCGATCACGCCCACTTTTTAGCGCGATCGTTATTTCCAAAATCTGTGCTATAATTTCGTTCCTAAGGCTTTTTTCTGCTCTAACACATTAGAATGATTTATGTGAAAGTGTAGAGTACAAACCCAAGTATAGAGGTTTATATCGAATTCGGTGTCAAAGATTGCTGGCGCCAGCTGGCGCCAACACTGAAAGGCAACGATATTCGTGACAAGGATGTCAAATAACCTAGCTATGGAGGTTTCTATCGCATTCGGTGCCAAAAAGACTGCTAGCGCCGAAATGGCGCCTACTGGCGCCATATGGCGCCAACGACAAATAAGATCTCACGTTCATGATCAAAGCCCCGCGCAGTCCCTGCAGCCAAGGTTTCGTCCAAAAGATCGATTGAGACTGCCGGCAATAACCCGAAAGGTGGTGGAGAAAGTTTGAGCCACCGGTGGCTCATATTGTCCCACGTGGCCACTCACTTATGAACCACCGGTGGCTCATAATGTCGTCAACGTGTTAAACATTCAAATTCAGACAGCTAGGGGGACAACCCGCCCCTCGCGTGCGCGACATTGTGTGCCACGTCCAGGGCATATCACGTGTGTCCTGTCATACAACCGGCGGCGGCATAGCTCTGACAATGACCGGAGTTGTCAGCCCTCGCGACAAAGTTCTGGGAAAGTTTAGTAAGATGGCAGGTAATGGGGGAAGGGGGCTGTACCAGGAAGGACATCTCAAAGGGAGCGGGGTAGTAGTTTGCCAAAAATTTCACCATGATGTGTGCCTTCACCTGTGACACAGTGCCCTCTGAAAATTCTATTATATTTTGAAATGGAAGATTTTCAAGCATCCAGTAGTATTGCTTTTTCAGCGAACACATAGCGCGTCTGGTACTGCCTTGATCCCACCGGTCTCCGCCGCCATAGAGGATGCGGCCTTTCTGGGTGATCTAGTTCTTCTATGTTGTACATCTCACTTGGCCACATGCTAGAATTATTTTACATTTCTGTATGAAATACTGTAAGTCTATCAGTTATTGATCTTTTCTAATTTTGATCCTTAGCAAAAAATAGTCACTATTGCCAGGACCTTACAGTTTCTTTTCCCAGACAAAATCAGTTACAAATAAGGGAATGAATAAGAAGCTGTGGTTTCCCACTGTTCATTCTTTTGGTGATTAAAAATCATGAATAATAATATAGTGCCAGTTCCCAATCAATCATTATCTTTTATTATCATTTTTCATCTTAACTTTCCACATTTTTTTATCTTGCTATTTTTCTCTGAGAATCTGGTCTTCTACTTATACAAGAATGTTCGTCACGACTCCATGTTGTTATCTCCCTTGAAAAATTGAATTTCAGTTCCATTTCAGCTTATTTTTGCTTTTTTGTTATTAGTTTTTATTACTTTCAGTTTACAACAATATTATCGGGCTTCGATTAGATTCCGGAGAAAGGGCAATGATGTGTGTCCGAACGATGTCTCACCTCGAACTAGCCAAAGGTGTACAACCAAATATAGACCGTATTAATCAAAGCCACGATGTAAGTTGTATAACTGTCTTCTTTGATGCAAGTTGGCTACGGGGGGCAAGTTGATTATATGGGGAAGGGGGTGGGGACAGAAAGTTCATGTACCCCTTTCAAAGGCGGGATTACCGTATGTGAAATCCCTTTTGAATGACGGGTTCAGATCAGGGTTTTTGAACGACTTAGCTTATTACTGTGTGACTTCTTGAAGTATTTTTTGTTCTAGACGCGTGTACTTGTGGCGTATTCCGGGAAAGATTTTCTCATAGAAACAAGCATTTCACGAGAACTCGCCAACGCGTTCAAGGATCACAAGGAACTGGTGAGTGAAAGTCGATGTGGATGTTTGGTCACAGACGTTTGACAGACAGCGCTGTATCGTCGCAATCAGTCAGAGCGGGAAGGGGCGGGATGAGCCCCCTCCGGCTCCCTTGCTCCACCAATAGTAATAAGAAGTCGTGGGAGGGTTCATCCTAGCCCTCCTGAAACCACACCAGCTGCTTGCGGCGATGTCAACTGTAAGTGGTGGATCCGCGGACTCCTCCCCGAACACTCACGCCTCTCACTCTTCCGAGGCGAGTGTTCAGTTAATATCAGGCTCGTTTGGGAAGAGAAAAACATTCGCTTGGACACTGGCTGGCCTGCGCGAATCATATCACAGGCCAAATGTTCCAAGAAGCTCTTGCATTCCCAAATGTCAAAAGGTGACTGGGGCACCTCGGTGTGATTAGGTGAAAGTACTGCTACCATTTTTTGTCTATTGAAGCATTATGTTCATGGCCTTTAGGAGCTGTCAAAATGCTTGAGTGCAAGTTTATAGACCAATTTTTCTACACTTTCTTCAGTGACACATTCAGCGATAAGCGGATGGGCGGAGACTCGTAGGCGTCCTTTCGCTGTGTCTTCTCTCAATCGTGAACGAGGAGCCCTGATAGCGAGGGAGGCAAAATGTGCCTTGGTCTCCGCCCATCCGATTATCACAGGATATGCTTTGAATACTGTTTTTATGATGGAATAAGGGAAATAAAAAATGAAAGGGTAGATTATATTTAGGTTGTCCGGAAAGTTCTCAGCGTTTTGTGCACCTATTTTTTGTACATTCACTGCTGATTAAAACTCATTCTGCCTTGCTTCTCAGTAGCACATCCTGTAGAGAATTTCTTGCGCTATCTGATGGTATAGAGTTTTTTGTTTATTTATTTTTTGGTATAATTGCCGTTTCACCATTGCTTGATAAACCCCCTTTTTTCAAGATTTTTTCAAGCATGTGAAAAGAGCACTTCGGACGATTTTTTTCTTCGACTATAAATTGGGGCAATCCGCAATCGAAACAGCTCAACAAATTAACCAGGTGTGGGGGCCCAATAGTGCTAGAGAAAGCACTGTGCGGCAATGGTTCAACAAATTTCGTTCTGGAGATTTCAGCCTTGAAGATGAACCTCAGCGGTCGACCTAAAGCAATATCTGACGAGGATTTTAGGGGATTTTGGAGGCTGACCCATCCCAAACAGTTCGAGAGATAGCAGAAGAGCTAGGCGTTGGCAAATTCACTGTTGCAGATAGATCTGGCACACATATGGAAGGTGAAAAATCGACAACTGGGTGCCCACAATCGGAGTGACCGGCAGGAATCGGCACGTCTCGAGGTTCCTTCTGCATTGCTTTTGCGCAGCAGAAACGACCTGTTTTTGGCCGAATTGTCACCTGTGATGAAAAATGGGTCATGTATGATAACAGGAGACGTTCCGGACAGTGGTTGGATTTCGACGAACCACCGAGGTAATTTTCAAAGCCGAACCCTCACGAAAAAAAGATTCTGGTCGGCTTGTGGTCATCGATGGTGCGATCCACTATGCACTTTTTATGCACCAGGCCAATATTCTAGAACCCTACTGTTGAAGAAATAGACGAATTGTAACCCAAAATTTTGTCAGAATGGCAGTCAACACGCCTATCAAAGGAAAGTCGCGATTCCTTTGCACGAACAACGCCGCGCCTCGCCACTTTCACAATCATATCGCATAAATTGAACCACAGGGTAGCGTCTTATCGCCTGTGCTATTTTCCATTTATACCTACGACCTCCCGCAATTGGTGGAGGAAATAGGTGTTAAATGTAAAATGTTTGCGGACGATGTCAAAATTTACAGGGCATTAAGTTCAGAGACGGAGTCTGCACTGATTCAAAACGCCATTGATGCAATTTTGAGTTGGTCTAAGACATGGGAGCTACCCCTGGCGCCTGAGAAAACCGTTGTTCTTCATATAGGGAAAGATCAGGTCGGCAGCAGCTATCACATGGGTGACGTCGAGCTTAGGAAAGTTGATGAAGTTAGGGATTTGGGTTTTATAGTTGATGGCAAACTTTGCTTTGAATCCCACTGCAAATATATATCAAATAAAGCTGAGTCGATGCTTTTTCAATTGCTGAGGAGTCTTTATACCAAGGACCCATGCCTTCTAATAAGGGCGTATAAGGCCTTTATCCGCCCTATGCTAGAGTATGGCACTGTCATTTTCTATCCGCATAATAAAAAGGCCATCTCGAGATTGGAGACCATTCAAAATAGTTTTACTAGAAAGATATTAATTCGCGCTCTAGGTTTTAACTATAACGCTATACCCAGAGGGATTGTAAGGAACAAAATGCTCGGCTTGGAGTCGCTGCAAATGTAGGAAGGGATGTAGAAGGAAAAAATTTGATCTCGTGACAGCATTCAAAATTATTACAGGCAAATTGTCATTAGATACGCGAACTTTCTTCACCTTACTCCCGTCAACGACAAGAGGGGGCCGACTTAAACCTTCGCTCCCCAAGGCCAGGTCCTCCATTAGAAATAAGTTCTTCACACTTCGGGCCTTCTCAGAGTTCTCTAGATTTTGTAAAAAGTGTCCCTTGGCAAACACCACTGCTCAACTGAAGAGGAACCTGAACAAGTACTACGCTTGAGGTCTCACTTATAATGTATTTAGTATACCTATTCTTTCTGGTTAGGCGACATCTTTTTGGAAGGTTGGCCACCTAATATGCTGTTTCTTTTTATTTTTATTATTAAACTACTAATTCATTCTTTGTTCGCTTTGGGAATTTCCATATGTTTGTGAAATCTTCATGTTTGTTGTTTAGTTTGCTCTAACGCAGTCCATTATTTGGCACTTGCTACCTCCATGTGCTTATGCGCATGCAATAAATCTAAATCTAAATCTAAATGAACGAAGGGGCTTGAGTTCTACCCGCTCACCGCCATATTCTCAGGCCTTCCACCAAACCGAATATTCCCTTTTGAACTTTCGAACATGTTTCAGGAAGCTTCTCGCTGGCGAAAATACTTCATCAAACAGGACCAGGCAAAAAAAGCCTTCGTGGATTTCGTGAATTTTCGACCACCCAGTTTTTTACTTTGATGGGATTTCTCGACTGCTGTCACATTGGCAAAAGTGTGCTGATTCGAATGGTGCCTATTTCGATTAAATCCGTGGTTCACAAAAGTTACGATGTTAAGTGAAACCAAACTGCGAGAACTTTCCGCACTAATATAGACATAAAATGAATAAAATTTATGATTTACCTTCTTTCTAGGTGCTGGCATAGGGTAACGATGAAATTTCGCGAACAGAAAAAGCTATACAACAAACGAGAGAATTGTTTTCAAGTGGAACCAAGACTGTGAGTTGAAATTTCGTTCACTTTCATTGTACAAATTGATGGGTGTTTCCCTATTCTACTCGCTGCTTTTCTTTCAAATACGGGAAGGGGGGGGGGACAGATAGAGCAGTGGTTAGGAGCGCAGTGGGAAGCAATCGCACAGGCTAAATCGCTTACGGATGGAAGCAACCAGGAACTCCACTTTGTGGGAATAGGCTAACTAGCTAGTTTATCCTAGCTGGTGGACGGGAATGCTGTAACTATTTATTTCGTGCTGTGTTGATTGAAGACACCCCTTGGGTTCGAAAATCATAAAGTGGCTCTAATACTGATGACAAAATGGTAAAAAAAACAAAGGTGAACGAAAAGCAGAAACAGATCCGCCTAGAATGCCTTAGATAGAATTCCGTGCTGAACAGTGGCTGTAGGTGCATAAGGCGATGGAAGGGCGTGGTCGGAGCTCTTACTAGGTGCTGCCAGTTTTCTATCGTTACCATTTCACTAGCACCTCTAAAAATGGAGTCAGGCAGCAGCAAAACAACCGCATCATCAGATAACAGTCAAAATGAACGTTGGGCGTCGCCGTGGCAAGTGGGCGGAGCCATGGCCTTGTCGCGAGATGGTCGCGCTTTCTCCACCTGTTTTTGTGCTGCGAAAGTAGTACATCCTCCATGCTTGTGGACAGGACCACCATGTCCAGAGAAGGCCTCTGTGCATCAAATCGACTGCTAACCTCTTTCTTGCCACATTCACGCAACACTTCCGCCGCAATGCCGCAAAGTGGATCTCCTGTCCCATTTGCATTAAGGTTCTGAACAGTTGCGTCAGCGACTAGCTGACCAATCATCCAGATCTATTATCTAAAGACAAGTACTCCCCCCTCTGTACAGTCGTTATTCCCGAAACCGATTGGGCGCACAATTGCGGCGTCATGGAACTGAGCCAGAGCAGATGATCCACCAGTTATAGCTGACTCAGGATGACACCGTTGTTGAGGAAGGTTACGTGACATCTTGAACTTTTGTGCATGTCCTGTTACGAAACCCTGTGACGCAGACGGATAGAGGGCAGCGGCTGCCAAAGCATCGAAACGTGCAAAAAACGTATGGCGAGCCAGGAAACGGGATTTTTCAAGGGGAGGGGTGGGTGAGCTACTTATAGTCGGTGAAAAGCTGGAGTGAGCGAAGTCACAACGGCAAAAGAGTGCCATGCGGACGAGAT